TTTTTTTTTTTTTTTTTTTTTTTTTTTTACGTAATTATCGTATATTAAAATAAAAATAAACTCGAATCAATATTTTTAACTGCAACAACTATGATACCTATTTATTTTCAAAGAATCTGAACAAGGTGATAACACTATACCTGATAACAGTAGATTATACGAGGGAAGACGACTCGGAAGCGTCTCAATGTCCGCGATCCGTGTACGCCTCCTCGACAAATCGATTCTGACAAAAACTAGGCGGTCCTGCAGGCCGAGTGGCGCTCAACCCACTTTTTCCACGCGCGAGAAACCCGCACGGAAATCAACGACGAATCCGCCTTTCGTTCAGCCATCGTTTACACTGGTCCCCTCGACTTTTATTCTCGACCTTCCGTGATCATCGACTTCTTCTTATCTTTGCGAATTTCAATGTAAAGGAAAAAAAAAGTGAACAATACGATACGAGGAGAAAGTTAAGAGAATAATAAGGAAAATAATATAAAAATGAAGAAAGGGGAAAATATGAAAGGAAGATGAAAAATTTAAAGGAGAAGGTAGAAAGAATAAAATGTCGAATGCAGAGAAGACAATAGAAAGAAGAAAAATGTGAAGAGAAGAATGGAAAAAAGGACGCGTGAGCATTGAGAAGAAATCAAAGGGTGAGGAAGACGATGAAAAAGAGAGGAATGAAAGAGAAGGCTGTACAGATGGCGCGAAAGTAGAGGATGATACAGATGGCGTAAAAGAGAAATATGACAAAGGATAAAAATAAAAGACAAAATAAAAAAAAGAGATAAAGGAGATGATGATAAAAAAAAGAGAATGAAAAAAGTGTGATAAAGAAGGTAGAAAAACAAGAATGGCAGCACATAAATGGAAAAAAAAGGAGTGATAAAAGAGAGAATAATGGTGAGACTGGATTAGAGGTGAAAGAGAAAAATTAGCTCAAACTTTTATTTTAAAACATTCACTAGTCAGCTTTATTTATAAAATTAAAATTATTTTCTTTTTCTATATTTCCATTTTAATATACTATTATACTTATCAAAATAATTACTGGCTTCGTTACTATCTTATATTTCAAGAACTTTGTTTTTTAATAATATTATGAAATTTAATTTGCTAAAAAAAATATTTAAAATTATCTTATTTTTGCTAAAATAATTATGGTATTTGTAATTAAAAGATTATTTTTTATTAAATTCCTAATTCCTAAAATCCTATTCAAATATAAATTTAAAATTTCTAATCAAATATTCTTATATTATATTTATTATTATATCTATAATTTTTATAATTATATCTATATAGATATTATATTATAGATATATCAATTTAAATAATCCTACTATTTTTATTAAAATGATTTTATTAAATTTTATATATTCATAACCATTATATAATTATTATAATCATTTTCAATTTCCGAATCTATTTTTATTAATATTATCAATTTTACCAATTTTATTCATATATTAATATTTAACATTCTACTATTTTCACTCAATATTCAAGTTTCAAGGACTTGTTTGCCAACGTTGCAAAGTATAAAATTTATTTTGAATATTCATATAAAAAATTTGTATTTCTTATGAGATAAAACGAACTTGTATATTGATTTTATTGAATTTTAATTTTAATCACGATATTTCAGATAGATAAGAATATAACCATATTGCATTTCTAATAATCGAGAAACAGCGTTATTTGCATATTCTTACGCACATAGCAATCATTAACGCAACAAAGTGATAAGTTTACTTTTCATGACTTGCAGCAACTCGTAGAAACTGGAATTGCAACGAGTCAACATTTTCTCTTTTCCCGCTTTCTTTTTTCTTCTCTTTTCTTCCATCACACAAAAATGGATGAAATATCTTTTTTTTTTTTTTTTTTGCAATCTTTGCGTTATGAGATAAATAACATGTAGTCGAAACATGACAAACGTAGAATCGATTTCTAATATCAGTCCAAGAAGGGATGGTAGAAAGGGCAAAAGGGGAGGAAATTTATGAACGACGTCGATTTCAGGCGAAATGTCTCGCCTTCGAGCACCTTCAACGGTCCAATAAATATTCCCGATCCTATAAATTTAAATAAACGATGGGAATTCGTATGTGGGTAAAAATTGAACGATCTGATGGAGAGAAAATTCAATTTTTCTTGGTAGATTATCTATATACATATAAATAAAAAAAACATATATATTTTTTTAATGTTGCATTTTTTTTTTAAATTTTGAAAAGATTGAAAAAATCAATATATTATAGAATCATTACAATTATACTAATTTATACAATCTATACAATTATACTAAGTAGATAAAATTTATCTAACTATATTTATTATTGTATGCAGAAATAATATAAAGATGGTTTTTAATGTTCTATATTATTCTTAAATTCATTAGCACACAGATAAAATTTCACTTTTGTTTATGTTATTTTGATCATATTAATTATTTAAAGAAAATATTAATATTTAATTTTAATATTTAATTAAAAATAATTGGAACATGAAATATATATATTAAGTTATTCTAAATTTTTGAAAATTTAAAATATTGAAAAAATTAAGAATAATAAAAAAAAAGAATATTATTTGTCTTATATAGTACTAAAAAATATTACTATAAAATATTAAAAATAGTAAATTTTTTTACAAATTCATCGATATTTAATAATTAAAATTAAAAGTCAACTCTGATTCATCTGTATCTTTGAAAAAATGTAAAATCTGAAATCTGTAAATTTTAATCTGAAATTTATTGATGAGTTTACCAACTTAAACGTTAAGAAGAAAAAAAATAAGTAACAAAAAAACATGATAACGTAGAAGATGTATGATGTTTTGAAGGAAAACAACGAATCGAAAATCTGTTGCTCGGAACGGTATACGTCACTGACGCGACACAGTCGCACGGACAACCGTTACTCCTTATTTGCTTAATGAATTAAGGACGCCATGAAAAATGGCGTCTAATCGCTTCTGGATTCTCTCATGATTCTGCATACCGTGTTATATAAGTGGCTATCAATTTTCATAGATAGGCAAAGCCGCGTGCATTGACGCCAATTCGAGCACTTTTCAAAAAAATCGCACGACTTCACATCACTAAGCTGATCAATACAATACCCATGCAATTAAATTTCGCTGGAATGCTCTAACAGTATTCTAAATTTCCATACGTAAAATCCAAAATTGAAAATTATCACGTCAAACGAAACTATTTTCAACGAGAAATGAAATAATATTCGAAACCGATTACTACTCGAGTCAGTTGCACGATTGTACTGTATATACGTATATGTACCGTATATCAAGTGACTAAAGTTACGGAATTTCCTGACGTTTCAATATTCATTTTCCTTGATGCCCGTCATAATGGATGTTATCACGGACACAGATTATCATAATTTGATCGCTTTTACGATCATGAGCGGAAGAATCGTAATAATTTCACGCGTGACTAATTGCATTTCCATGCACCATGAGACTGGAATCCGTTTCAATGGTGAGAGACCGGGCTTCCGTGAGAGCTCGAATTTCGAAATCGGAACTGTTCCCGATGAAATGTTCATATTACCAATTTCAAGGCGGTCCGAGTACACACATACATGGTTTTCATTTTCAACGAGCGACTAAAGCGGAGAGGTGGCTCCGCTGTGGAAATGTACACGTATTATGTACATGTATACATACATACACACAAACATACACACACACACACACACACACACACACACACACACACACACACACACACACACACACACACACACACACACACACACACACACACACACACACGTAGCGATCTCACGAGCGAGCGTGACACGTCGAGAAATCTATGGCTTCGAGAGAGGACGGTCGGAAGACGGACGGAAATAGGAAATGCATCGGTCGAACGATCGGAAACCCTTTTCGTCGGACTTTCAACGTTTCCGTCGGCAACAGCCACCATGTTAGCGTTGCCTTGAGCTGTCTTTATTGCGCAGCGACCACGTCGAAAAAACTGCCCCGCTTAAACGCATTCGTTATCTTTTGCGAATGAGGGAAAAAAATACAAGCCGGGTACACATGAAGAGATGGGTACTTACGGTGAAAAATATCCACATTTGCAATTGTACATTATCGAGCGAAGAGCAACGGTCTCGTTACGCTACCGACTTTCGTTCACCCGCGAATAAATTCTTACTGCTAGATATTCCTTCGAATCAATAACGAGGATTTCTCGCGATGGAAATATAAGTCATTTTATTTATAAATGTATATTTTATGCTAAAATATAAGTGGTGAGATAGCCTCAAAATATTTACATCAAATGAAATATGAATCTTTGTAAGAAATAAAATGAAAAAAAAAAGGGATAATTTAATTCATCCTTATATCAAATTCTTAATATGAAAAGAAGATAGTACATGAAGAAGAAATGATTGTGATAGGAAATCACGATTTCGACCCATTTCCGGACCGACCTTCGTACCATCTGCGGTACATAAACAAGCACGGAGAGACTATCGGTAATGGGTATGTAGAACTAATCAACGAAGTCACCGTGATTTCGCGGGTAATTAAAAGCGATGTTTGGAAACATTCATAGACAAAAAATTATACTTACAGCATCTCCTTGGTGGCCGAGCTTGCGAAGCACATCGCGGTGGCGGCGGCACAGCAGTCACGGTCACAGTCACGTAAGCCTCGACAACGGCTTCGACGAACACAAGCAAAGAAACACTCATCACTGTCACCAGGCTGCCCTTATTTTGGCAGTGGATTGTAATAAAAGTCCGAAAAAAGAGTCCAGGAGCACCATGCGTTCGAATTATGGAATCGAAAAAAAGAAACCAATGAATTCTCGCCGTCTCTGTCCCGCCTGTTTCGTCCTTTAATCTGCGAGAACTCAGGAACACCAATGATCCGTCACGAATAATTACGACACTCGAATTTTTTCACTTGGAAGAAATCGCGGCACAGATTCAGCAGAAAAGTCACTATCATGTAAGCACAGTTAAGAAAGAGCAGCGCGCTCCTGGCTCTTATGAATTTAACCTAGCTTAGTAGTGATTCGGTGCAGTCGAGTTTCTTGACTGAACGACCGATGCTTGCCGAGCCGTGCCCCACGAGACGACACTGCTGCCAACTGTTCCCGTGGCAGTACAGAAAGTTTCTATGCCGATAGTAAAGGCGTTCCGAGACTGTCCTCTTTTAAAAATTCAGAATTTGTTTCTGGAATTAAATAAATAAATTTATAAATATTAAAAAATATGAAATTTTTATTTAGAATAAAATTATCATTTCAAAAATTTCGTTTAGAAAATTTTGTGAATTTTATAATTAAACTATTAAACTATTATGTATTATGTAAAATCTATATATGATATAAAGATTGAATATTTATTGAATAGAATATATATTAGAATAAAAGACATTATAGAATTAATGTATATGCATTTATTAAAATTATTATTGAAAAATATTTTTATTTATGTAAATAATATTAATTTTAATAATGAAATATTTAAACAATATAAGACTCTTAAATGTAATAAATGTTATAATTAAATGAAAATATTTAATTCAATTTCTATATGAGAATGCAGTAAAATTTCTCTTTTTTTATTTTTTCCATTATTTCATGATTATTAATCACTAGCTTATAACTTAATTAATTCTAATAATATTTCATGCTAACAGATTGTGATATAAATAAATAAATAAATATATTTCTATATAAATAAATATATATTTCCATTGTTATGCTATAGATTTTTGTTGATAAAATAATATTAATAATCAATTTTATTTATTTTTAAGTTTTATTTTATTGTTATTATTATTATTTTTAATTAATATTTTTTGTCAACTATTATTTTAAAATAATTATTAAATAATATTATATCAATTAAGCAATAACTAATAAGAATTTTATAAAATACTTTAAATAATTATTATTTTATTATATTTATACTTATGTTTTTTTTTAATTGAATAAAACATTAAATTTTATTATATTTTCAGCTAATATAATTAAATGAAATATTTTAATTATTATAATATTAAGTGGGACAAACTAGAGAAATGTGACATCTTTGAGAAATGTATAACGATCTAGTACCGGTATTAGGAAGAAGGTCACTCTCACATCTAATGCTTTTATTTGTGGAAGGAAAAATAGCATTTTAATGTAAAGATTTTAATGTAAAAAATCTTATATAAATCTATATGATTAAAAAATTTATGATAAATCTAGTTTATAAATTAAATTACGAATTACACTAATGAGTTATTCCTAACTTGTCAATGTCGTTTCATTTAAGAAATGTAATTACTTTATATACAAAAAAAATAATTAACTTACCATGATTATTCTCTTTAATTTTTAATTGTATAAAAAAATTTCCTTTCATTATAAAATGAATACTCCCGGCGAGTTTAGAAATCTTTTTGCAATTAGAATATTTTTCGATCATATGTTGGCAATGATCAGTTCGTACATTGGTCACCCGCCGAAGTGGCGAGTTCTGATTGGTCGGTTTGCTATTTGATTTAATGGCGTGGCAATTACCGCCGGCGTGGAAGGGGAACTAGATTCACAACGTTTAACTGTATTGTCGAGAGCTTGGTTTTTCGTCCTAACCTGTCGGTGTTACTTCGTTCGGATCGTAACATCGATTTTAGCCGAGGAACAGTAGAGTTTATCGACGAGCACGTCGTATTTACAGTTGTCGATCACGTCTGGTGAACCGTCTGGTTCGCGTTGTAGCGATTTTTATTCGTGATTGACCATTGCTCGCAGGACAACGCTTAAGAAGACGCGACGATGATGGAAAGCTGAGAATTACGGTTTTCATATCGTGCACGAGGTAGGAACAGATTTCGATGCGTAATTTAACGACTATATAGTGTTGTTTCGCATGAAAATTTGGAATTGGATTAATGTCAATTGTGATTGCTTCTGAGAATCGAATATGCTTTGTGAAGTGTCCACTTGTGAAAAAGAACGATATGAAATTGTGACGAAGATTACAGGTTTATAAATTAAAATATTTACCAGTTTTGAAGAAGATTTGTGGACAAGAAAACAATTTGCAAAATTAAATATCGATAGCAATCTACATATCGTGTTAATGAATTTGATTATAAAACGATTAATTCGTATGTTTTTCAATGATGAAATTTGGAAAATTTTGCGTATAAATAAGTATTGCATTAAGAAAAACGTTGTATAAAAATATATATTGTATATAGTAATTAATCTTTTAAATGTAAAAGAATTTGTGTATTCTAATAAGTGTATTTTTTCAATGTGACAAGTATAATGTATGTACATAAAGAAGATTATTGCTAAAAAAGTGTGCAATCAATTGTATATATCATTTGATAAAAAAAATATTATTCAAAAAGTAAATTTATATACTGTGTTGTTCGTAAGATTTTTTTTTCTTTTTTACATTACAATTAATTATGGGATGAACTTTTAAACAGTGTTAAAAATCATGTAATAAAATTTTTTATTTAAATCATTCATATAAATTCCATTATCATAATGTGTACAATAATCTAGTATAATAATTTAATTCGAATTTTGTGGTTTGTGAAGTTGACATACTTTTATTTAGTGCATAAGTAATGAAGATTCAACATATATAAATATACATATAGGAGGATAAATAAACGCGGAGCAATCTGCAGCTGGTCAGTAAAATTAAAGATGTATTTAAATGCAATAAATTGCAAGATTAATAAATATATATATATAGTATAAATACTTGAATTTTGATCTCGAAAATTACGGTTGATTGATTTTTTTTGAATAAATAATTCTAATTTCTTAATTAATAAAAATTATATGAAAGTGTATCTATAAATTAAAAAAAAAATCGGGAAATTAATTCATTAAATTTGTGTAATATTACGATATATATCTATATCTTTTTTCCGTATTGGAAAGTGTTACAGAATTACGAAAGCCATTTTCTATAGAGTCTAATAAAATATTAATTTTGTTATAATATTTAAACTCTGAATATATTTTCAACTGTACAGTGAGTGTAAAAAACATTCTTACAATGAATAATTCAAAGGAAATTTTGTATAATTTGGTTTTTTAATAAAAATTTATTAATTACAATTCATAAATATACATATTCATAATTATAAGTACTTCGTATTGCAGCTTCATATTGGTAATTAATCGAAATGAAACTTGGTGAGTTTTATGGGAATAAAATTCGAAATATGCATCTTTAGAAATTTAAATTATGCATTGTAAAACAAAATATACATTTTTTTATCTCATTCATAAAAAATTTTCAAAATATTTCTCTGGATAATTGAATTGTAATTCTTATCATGTATCAATTGAACAAACATGTAGATTATATTACTAAATTATTCTTAATAAGATTTGTTGCATTTTAATGATCTTGAAAAAAAATAAAAAAAATTAGTTTGCATAATATATTCAATTGCTTCGCGACTATTAGTTGAGTATTAGTTTAAGTTGAGATTATATGTAGTAAATGATTATTATCTGTATAATTCTTGAATTTGTGATTTTATATTTCAAATGTACGTCCATTTTCTAGACACAAAGTTTCACTTCGGTCGGCCATCGATGCCTTTCGAAACACATCGAATAAATTCGGTAAAAAAAAAATCATAATAGAATAAAAAATGAATACTTTCATAAAAAATTCCTAAGAATGACTCTCTAAGATAAATTATTTGAAATATCAATATTTATAAAATTACGCTCACTGTATTTTGTTAAAAATTTCATCATTTTAAAATTTGATCATCGATCTTTTACATTTCTAGACATAGAATTATAATAACATACAATTTACATTCTTATAATTTTATTTCAAATTTTCTTTATATATATATGTATATATTTACGATTTTTTCATATAATAAATTAACTCATATGTTTCTTAATTATTTGTCAAATTTACAACGTTGCGAGAAAGGTGTTCGAAAAAGATGTGTATACACTCTCGCGCAGTACCATTCACTGAAAACCGGTTTCAATAACAGCCTTCTAGAATTTTATCGAAACGACGATAAAATTATTTCATTTATAATTTTTACGTGACGCGTAAATGTTTTATAACCGCGGTTAAAGATCCAGCTGGTTTATGAATGTGACGTATGTCATTGGGTAAATAAAACGTAAATAAATACACTTTCATGTTCGAATCAAAAACGAGTTATAATTTATCGAAATTATTTACATCCCGTCGTATCGATTCTAAAAAAATATCATTAATAGATACGTTCTAACTTCACTTGTAATAGTTTTAAAATAATTTCAAACATAGATAACATATATGTGCACATGTATACACATACGTGAAACAGGATCTTCCGCGCGTGCTCGAAAGTGTCAGTGAACTCGGAATTCAGCCGCTAGGTAGCCTGTACACCCTACTGCATTTTCACCATATATGTTTATATACACGCGTGCATATGTATATAGAGTATCATATCAGGCCACACATCCTCAATAATTCGCGCGGCCAGCAAGGACGAACAAACTACTGGATAGATGTCATGCGAGACGGATGTAATTTCCGTTCACGCAGAGCCGGTCGAAGTGCAACGATAAAAACAGACTATCGTAATTACCGGTGTCCAATTTCAGACGTTTGCCTCTGCTCACATTACCCTCATACACTACTAGCCGATCAAAAGTTGGTCCGTTTGTTTTGTATAGGTTATGTGTATGAGGGATGGAATGGAACGATAAATCAAGTTTTGAAATTGTAGATTGTATATACGGGATGTCGAATAAGTTATTTTCGAAAATTGTAGTGGGATTGTGATGGAATTATTAGATAAAATTTCTAGGTAGGTTTTTCTGGAAAAATATCAAAGTGTAGCATTCCATTTTTTTTTTCTTTCTAAGTAATTTTGGTTTTATTTTATATACATTTAAAAGAATTTGAAGAAACTCGAAATTACTTAATATATCTATTTTATTATATTATAAATATATTGATTCCTTTAAAAATTGTTAAATGAATAACCAAAATATTGAAAAGATTCTAAGAGGTTAATCTTTACTTTGTCTTTGATTTATTCTTTGATTAATGAAAGAATAGCATTTAAAAATCAGAATTTTTTCGATTTATAATTAATTCTTCCGATTTTATTATAGCAATTTTTAGCTTTCACCGGAATATCTGAATCCTTCCACGGCCCCAATTATTTTATAATTTATTCCGAGAAGAAGCATATTCTTGAAACATTATACATTTATATACTGTATATATATTAAAATTCATTAGACATTGTGCAATTGATTAATAAATAGCAACAATGGCGAAATACAATATTGCTTAATGAATACTTCTATATCGATAATTATCTTGTTTAATTCATTGACAAGCATGAAACTAATTGGACAAATAAATTATATTATAAATAATAATTTGCATAATACGTTCGATTGAAGAAATTTTCTGTTATTACAGGAATAATTAATTAATTTCATAAAACGATTTCAAATTTTGTTACAGTTTTACAAACGTATTTATATTTTACGCGAATATTAATGCATTCAACTTACAATATATAAAATGTAGCCTTTAAAAAAAAAAAAAAAATTAAGATATTTTACATTAAAGATTTTTTATCATGTGAATCGATCTTAAACTTGATCTATCCCTTCATCCTTGTAATCCATCCATGGTGTAGTCATTTAACCGCAAGTAATATGGTGTATCTAATTTCTAAGAATAAAATAACTAAGGCTTAGGGACGTGAAACTTACGCAGGAATACTTTCCAAACTAGTTGAACTCGAGACGAAATTCAATTTACATTGAATTTCTTTCACCGCATTAATAAAGAATAACAATTACTCTTATAAATAAAAAAGAAACAATTAATATGATTAATATGAAAGGATTCTTATTAAAAATAACGATGATTTAACCTTTTATGAGTTAAATATTTTCATTCTTCAACATAATAAATTGAAAACATAAAAATTTTAAGATAATGATAATACATATGACATATTATACGCTATTTTCATTCGTGATATAAAGCAATAATAGAACGAGTAAATGAGTGTAATTACGATTTTCCACCGATATGTGTATATCTGTGTATCTTGCAACTTTACAAGGGGACGAGAGATATAATTAAGAGGGATTAAAAGGAGGGGAGGACAAATGGTCTAGGTGCATCCTCCTGGTCTCTGGCGTTCAGTTTTATATAGTTTCTTTGAGATATAGGAAACAAAAGCATATCATACGCGATTATGAACCTTTTGTTTTGCAAACACGTATACGTTTAAATTAATATCCATCTGTGTTTATTAAAATTTATCAATCGACAAGAAAGATTAATAATAATTTATTCTGAATTGTA